GACCCCACCGGGAGCGGAATACCACGCAGAGAGTGATTTGCCAACACGGACGCAGAATTTTCGATCGATGAGGAAGTCTCGCAGCCAATTCCGCATGACCACACCTACACCTAGGTTGGACAGCTTTCGCAGAAGGAGGTCGTGCAACACCTTGTCGAAGGCTTTGCTGAAGTCCACGAAAATGATGTCCGTTTCGTGTCCTTTGGTCTTGTCCTCGGTCCAGCATTGACATGCAAGTTGCAGATTTGAGAGGCATGAGCGACCCGGCCGGAAACCGTGTTGTTGGTGGCACAGGTGACTGTGGCACACCAAATGCTGCCGGAGCCGTGCAGCCACCATTCGCTCCATTACTTTACCCACAACGCTAGTAAGGCTGACTGGTCGGTAGTTCCCAGGGTCACTCCTAACCCCAACTTTTGGCAGTGGAACAATGACAGCGTCCTTCCACCGCCGCGGTGAACGCCCTTGATTGAATGACAAATTGAACAGGTTGCACAGTGGCGCTGCACGTTCATCTACCAGCTCCTTCAGGATCAGCGGATGCACACCATCAGGTCCAGGTGGCTGGTGAACCTTTAGTCGACGCAGCTCCAGGGCCACCTCTCCGATGGTACATGGGGCCCAGTTCAGCGCAGTGTCAGTGTCCAGTAGATGTGCCAGTGTGCTGGAGGCTGGGGTGTACACTGAGGCATAATGTGATGCAGCATCTTCGCTTTGTCCTCATCTTTTCCGGCTAGTGCCCCATCTTTGGCGGGGGTCGGGAGACCAGGCGTTGCTCTGCGTCTTCGCCTGAGGTAGGCATATAATCGCTTTGGTGCTTGTACTGAATCCGTGGATAGTCGTTCCTCGAATCTGGTTCTCTTGCATTTTTTAGTGCAGTACAATGACTCCGAATATATCGATATTCCTCATATCCTGCGCCTGTTGCACGGTACCTGGACCAGGCTTTATTCCACTGTTGGAGGCACGCCCGCAGTTCTAGGCCAAACCGCGGCGGGCCCATAGCGGTGAGGTGGAAAGAATTCCAGTACGAGTTGCTGGATTCTATGACTAACCAACTCCCAGGATGCATCCACATCCTCAGGGTTCCTGGAATCCCAATTCGTGAGCGATGCAGCCTGACGCATATCCGGAAAGGATGAGCGCCACACATTCCGTTCGTGCCGTGGTCTGTCCGTTTAGGGTACGCCGCGCCTCCAGCGCATAGGCAGAACGGAGTGATCACTGGATTCAATTAGCAGAAGGAGGTCAATCCTAGTCGTATCTGATTAACTCGGCGAAAATACCAGATCAAGGATGGATCTTCGATCCCCAACTATCCACGTAGGCACATGAACAGGCTGAACAGAAGACAGGACCCAGACAGTGAAAAGAAGCTCTCTAGAGAACAAATTTACATGCTGAGAGCAGATGTCAGTTTCCCAATGAACATGGGGCGCGTTGAAATCACCCAAGACAAGAAAATGTCTATTGCAGGCGTGCCTCTGTATTCTGGCCAGCAGCTTTGGGACGTACACAGCTGGTGTACGGTTAATCACTCTAACTGTAGCATGCTCTCCGGCACAAAGTTTGATTCTGTACCACAAGGCTTCTCCAAATCCTTCCGGATGAGCGTAATTCTCCAGCACTCGAACAGGGAGAGCCGAGCGGACAAAAAGAACAATTCCACGACCATGGCGTGACGATGATCGATCCGTTCGAAACACTGTGTATCCGCGGAGTGATATTTTGGAGTCTGGGACATCCGGTGTCATCCAGGTCTCAGTGATTGCAAAACGATCGGGATTGTGGGATACAACCCAGTCCTCCAGCTCATCCCTTTTTCCCAGCATCCCTCGGGTATTGGTTGAGGCTAGCACAGCGTGGTTACCTCGCCATTCACGCCTCAAGCTAATCCCCCAGTCCGTGATTAAACAGTCTCCTGGGTTCTCCCCCGACCAAGGGCAACCAACGCAACTGAGGGCGCTTCCGATGCACACGAAAATCCTGTAGACACAGATCAGTTTCCCCTTTTGCACGGCGCTCCCCGAGTTCTTCTAATGCAGTTTTCAATTTACTACACTGGTCGGGATCAAGATCCCTGAGGAATCGCACCGGAGTTCCCTTCAGCTTGTAGGTCCGCTGGAGAATCGCTTTGACCTGGCTTTCTGCTCGAAGAACCACTTTTAGTGGTCGTGGAGAATTATCCTGACGGAGTTTTCCAAGCCTGAATGTCGCTTTTACGCTGATCGATGCCGCTGGTTCCACCTCGTCGCCATCAAACAAGGTAACCATGTGCAACCTCAGCAGCTGCAGGTCGTGGTTCATGCGAGCCTGGGCAGTGGTGGCCTCGGCCTCCGGAAGATTGACAACAATGAGGCACTGAGATCTCGGAAGGAGCTTCCTCTGCTGAATTGGTTCCTGCGAATCGCTGGGGCACCTCTCAACTGTCCGTGACATGTTACACGCACCGTACCTGGATGTCGTGGACGAAGGAGTCGAGTCTGTCCGTGAGGGCGATGCAGCAGACGATATCCCTGACTTTT